AATAATTCGGTTTTTTGTTCAGAGGAATTCTTGACTATAATGCGGAATTTACTATATCGAGACTTTACTATATCGAGCTCCTGACTGTATCGGATTGCGTATTTACAAGTTCGTGTAAATTCACAATACGGCACAAAATGTTTCTGCATTTCGCGTGTTTGCGTTAAATGCGGGAGTGAACAAATGTCAGTGATAATTGTAATTTAATCATAAATTTGTATAGCAACACACCATAATCGTAAAGGTCTGTATAACAGTAATGTTCGACTCCAGCGGCGGCTTTTGTCCGTCATATCGACGACGAGGCTGTTATATACCGTACTAAATTTACTTCTATATCCAGGTTTTCTCTTAATAAGTCTAGTAAAATTGGCAAAAATGCTAGTCAGTGAAGTAATTGCTGATATTTTTTATTGTAGTCATTCCTTCTTTGTAGCAAGATTCTCATAATGTATTATTACAACGGGAAGAAACGGTTTTACAATCTAAAATTAGCGAAATCTTTCAATTAAATTAATATTAATATGTAGAAATAGAAACAATTAGCGAATTATGTGTGGAAGAATTCTTTGGCGATAATTAGTTACTGCCTTTTGGAAAGTTTCTGCTTTCCTTTTTTCTATGTTTGCCAAGTCTTTTCTTGTATTCTTTTATGGAATCGCTTTTTGCATAGTAATATATCATGTATGGGAAGAAATCGGGCCGTTGCCTTTGCTTCCGCGTAAGCGTACACATCTCTAATTCGCATATGAGCTGTATATCCGTCGAGATCAGTTAATATTCAAAGCGAGAAATAAACAAACTGTCACGTCACAAAATATTCAGAATCTGAATTTACCTCTGCTTTTTGTTTAAGCCAAGCATGTCGACCAACAGTTTTAGCATCACCAACGACGTCGCTCATCAAGGCAATTAAAATGTTCAACAACACTATCGCGGTTATGAACGTGAATGCGATTGTCAGAAGCGCAATTGTCGGATTGCCGAACGCATCACTGATATTGCCGAAATTGTTTGTCTATTAACAGCAATAAAAATTAATTCAAACGTCTCTGTGCAATTTATTTGAGAATCAGATTGAGATTCTTAAGTAGATTACTTACCACAAAAAAGAAAACCGAAACTAGTGATTCTTGTGGAGTCGCGAATTGGTCTGTAACTGTGCTATTACCTACCAAATCTACAACTTCCGTATAAGACAGCAAAAGCCAGTAAATGTGCGTGTATGCAACCACCATAATTGCGATTATGAACATAATCCCTCGCACTCTGTTGAATATCTCTATTATCATAAATATTGGTATTCCAAAATCCTTGAACACTCGAAGCCGTAAAATCTATAATAAAGAACGACAGGTTAATTAATGTTGACAATAACCCCCTTTTTGTATCTGAACATGAGAGTTTAAATATTACAGCTGCTAAATTGATTATTTGGACGCAACGCTAGATTAATTATAAAACTTACAAAATTGACATAGACAAAGAACATGGAACCGCCAACGTATTGACGTCTGGTATCACTTCCGGAAAGTGCCCCGATTGCGTAAATTATCGGCATTAGCGTGCTCGCCAGATCAATCAAATTATATATAGTGAAATAATAAGAGCGATACGCAATTATTTGCATCACCTCAAGCCCGATAAATATGAATCCCAATAACAACACTACAGACGAGAAAAATCTGATTAAATGCTCGGTCCTGCCTCCCTGCTGTACTCTTTCAGAATCGAGAGTAACGGCCAACATGAATGAAGCAAGGTACAAGAAATATACACCAATAAAAAAGATATATCGCATTCTAGCAAATGTTCTCCAGCTGAAATTAATAACAGCCTCCATGGCTGGTTCGCCAAACATATCGTATCGACCTTGGAGCACCGCACTAGCAAATGGAGAGAGGTATTTGCGCCATTTAAGAACATTCAGAAATCCGAGACGGGACTCTGGTGGTTCTGGATACCGGGTAAAGTTCGGCAGAGGAACGGTACATACAAGATACCGATAACTCTCATTCTATTCAGAGGCAAACGAAGTTTGGTGTTAATAAGGCATAAAAAATGATAAATGCTAACCAAAGTATATATCAAAATATTAATATTACCCGATGTTCATTACTAAAAAATCTACTCCACTTAAAGACGGTATCATTATCCGCATCTGCTTTATACACATCATCGCTGCTTTTTTCCCTATCTGAGTAGGCAAAGTTCTCCCGTTTATTGCTCCATACAGCGGGCCTGTTTAATTTGAAGTAACTGATATCTTTGACCAATTCTAGAGCAGTGTCAGGGTGTTTTGAACACAGTTGGCTGAATGCAGGAACAACAAGTCGCAGGCTATTCTCGGGGTGAGGTTTAGACTTCGAGTTCCTATTCGCCATATTCTCTGATTTCTCCGCACTATTGCAATAATAGCGTAATAATGAACGGACAATTTCTGTTCTACCCAATGATATAGCGTAAGAAAGGTCTGATTGAGGACACTCGTGTTTTTCCAAATCATAAAACCTCAGAGAAATTTTTTCTTTCTTCAACAATTCCTCAATCAAAGTATTGGCCCGTTCACAATCAAATTGCATTAAAACTTTCAAGATTGATCCTTTGCTCCATATCGCTTTTGAATCATCATTTGAAGTACCTCCAATTACTTCAAGCCATAAAGGTATAAGCGGCCTGTGCTCTGGTTCGTCAGTCGATTCAATACTGTCAAAGTCTTCAACGTGTTCAAATACATCGCCATCCGAAGATGAAAGGGCACGGCGAATAATCCCTTGGCACTCGTCCAGAAGTGTTTCATAACGTCGGTATCTTTCAGTTGGCCATGATTTTTGTTCAAATGAGTTCAAAAATCCAAGAGCAAACGATGCGTCTCTTACTGTATGGAAACTGGCAGGAGCATCCTTACGTGGCAAGTGAAATCCGGTTTCAATACTCTTACTAATGCCGTCCACCTCATATTCGAAAGCGATAATAAACTCTCCGTCTGGCCTTCTCGTCAACTCTGCCCACTTAATACAATATTCTTTAATAAAATTTTTTTCTCGATTTTTTTTAATAATAGGTCTGCACCAAATATACTGCAGCGTTCTCTTTTCTGTGAAATTAGACCATAACTGTATTGTCTGTTTGCCAATAAACAGTACTCGGTCAATTTTATCATCCAAAATGACCGCTGTTTTAATTTGGGGTGTGACCCATGGCTCTATTACAAATTGCTTAACTGCTCTTGTTTCAGAACGTGTTGAGAGCATCACTTTGTTGCGACCGTTTTCTTCAAACTCATGCACTCGTCTTCCCTTAGGGGAAACGGGCGGAGAAATAGGCGGAGGAACACGTGGAGAAACAGGCGGAAAAACTAACGGCGAAATGGGTGGAGGAACTGGTGGTGGAGAAACAGGTGGTGGAGAAACAGGTGGAGAAACAGGTGGTGGATGAGCAGGCGGAGGAACACGTGAAGAAACAGGTGGTGGAGGAACAGTTGGAGGAACAGTTGGAGGAACAGGCGGAGCAATAGGTGGAGGAGTATCATCGATTTCATATCTCTCGGCAATAAACTTGTGAGCGCATTCGAGAACCTCTTTCTCCAACTGAATATCGTTTCGCAATTGAGATCTCAACCAAGAGCGTGCTTTAACAGAATTATTATACCAATAGTTTTTAAAATCAACGGCAACTAGTTCCCAATACTGCAACGTTACCGCAGTAGCCCTAACTTGGTCTTTAATGTCTTTCATACGTCCATTACTGAAATAATCCTTCAGGTCTGCGGAGAACTCTTCTGAATTGTTGAATTCAAAAAGGCTAGCTGTCTTCCCGTTAAGAAGGAAAAAACCCGGCTTTGACTGAAAATTTAAAGACCGCCTAACAATTTGTTCGATAACTAAACGCAATAGTTGTTAGATGTATGTCAAACGACTGAATCGATCCACGAATATTTCAAAACTAGGGGCAAAAAAAAAAATAATTACCAGACGGATGTAAAACGTTCTCTTGTTCTCCAGCAAGATTAACGTTAAACGTTTCCATGACAAGTTTTTCCGCAACATCGTATAAACGCTTTTCTACGTCTATGAAATGAACTTGAGAACTGATCCATTGTGTCAAGCTATTAACTGGCAGCGTCCATTCGCTTTGGACCTCCCGATAAAAATTCTTAATACAAGTGATAATCAAAGTTGTAGACCAAACACGCACGTTCACAGACATTAATTGTTTGTCAGACATAATACGCATTGCTACGGCGTGGAAAAGATCCGACGCAGATTTAAAATTGAAGTAGCAAGCTAGGCTGCTGCTCATATCAGCAGAGCTAGCATTAAACGTAAGACCAATAAGACGGTACAAGTCATTAATGTCAATATTATCCTCGCTGAAATGAAAACGGTCACTTTCAACTCTGGTAGAATAGAATTCAGCTTCAAGTCCAATTTCATTAATCTGTTCATAGTGCGTGTTTTTCTTACTATATGTTCTATCTGGATTGCGCGCAATCATCTCATTTAACGGTAATGAAAAACATCCAATACTAAGATCAGTCGAATTTTGGTCGAGGATTTCAAGAAGAAGTTGACCCTTTGGACTACGTACTGGTACGCAATGTATTCCGTAGACGCTGTTGACTGTGTATACAGGCGCCTCTTTTTTAGCAGTTCCCGTGTTAACCTTGAAGATACGGACACAGAAATCGTCCATCCGGCCAGAGGAAAGAACACCCTTCACTTGATCGAGTTTAACTCTGAGGATGCCGACTAAGTCAGTGTCGATATCATCATATTCGTCTTCGTATAATTCATCATCTGATTCATAGTCATCTTCGCATTCAAATTCTTCAAATTCTTCTTCTTCTTCTTCTTCACTATTCCCAAAAACAGAATCACCAGAGCTCACATTGAAACTACCTACAAGAACCAGCAGGACACTGGTGCTTTCGTTATTAACAATGAGCTTGCCTGGTCTCTTGGATTCGACAGCGAAGAACGTTTCCGCTCAACAATCATGAAACTCAAACATAAGCTTTCGAAAAACAGATTGTCGCGTATGAATGCTAATACTTGGGCCACCGTGTTTATTCTCCTTTTTTGGCGTTTAGCAGCAACTGATTATCGAACCGAATGGCAGCCTTTGTATGAAATCGCGTACAGATGGTTATACATTCAGTTTAAAGCTAGCGAGTCGATTGAAAAGGAGGCATTCGATCGCATAAAGATGCTCATAACGGATCTTTACGAGATCGACAAGGAAGCATTGAAAGAGGATATTCAGTTCGAAGCATCATTCAGGGAAAGGAAGAATTTAATTCAATCTGGAAGGTGGCGAGAAGAGAAAGCTTTAGTTGGTATGTGTGATACATTATGCGCGAATCAGGCAAGACTGACAATTTGAAATATACTAACCCAAATAAATTCATATAGGCTCTTCCAGCCTGATCGGCTTAATTCGTTTGCAGATTGACAGTGCAATCATCGATCAAGCACTCGGCTTATTTTGGCTAGCAGGTGAAGACTCGGACCCATACGTAACGATTTCTGACTTTGATACTGAATGGATTTACGGAGAAACGAAAATTGTGTATAATAGTAAAAAGCCCGTCTGGAAGCAAGTCTTTTACATCCCGTTGTATGATCAGCATAAGAAGCTAAAGTTAAAAGTGAACGACTATAACGCGTTCTTTAAAAACGTTCCGCTGGGCGCATGCATTCTGGATATTAACAATGTAGTGGTTCGAGCTCGTGAAACAAAGGAAGCCAAGCGGGAGAAAAGAGATGTCGATTTAAGATACAAGAGCAATGTCACTGGTCGGCTTCGATTTGATGTTGAATTTATCTCGCTTGGTGACGACTATTTTAAAAGAGTGTTAGATGTTTCCCCTATCGGTCTAGATCGTCTCTATTTCATCTTATCTCTCCAACGTCAGGCAGGATCATTTGAAACTGACGATTGCTTAGCCAAGCTTTTTGACCTTTCAACCATCGAGGAATTGATTCAGCCATTTCAGGGAAGTTTCGGGT